GTTTTGCGAGTCTCTCTCCATGCTACTCGTCCATTCGTCCTGATTATGTTATAACAATTAGGCCACTTTTCCTGCGAGTGGAGAGTGTAAGTTGATATTTACACCTCGTGTCGAATGAATTGTGTATTCCGCTAAACACGGGTCGATGTCTCCTGCCATCATCGGCACCATAGAGTCTAAGTCCTACGCATCGCGTCAAGTTTTGGGGGAAGAAACTGAATGTATGGCACACCCTCTTGGATAATGGCGTTCAGATAAGGAAGCCCTTGAAGAAGCCGAGGATCGGGCATGGCACCGTCAATTTCAGTCCGTAATTCATCGGGACTGCAACATAACCGCCAAAACAGATAACTGAGCGTCGTGGAGGTGGTATCTGAGCCCGCAATGCTAGAGGGATCTCGTTGGTGTTTCACTCAACCATGAAAATCGACGACGCTTACAAGTGGGATACAGTCTCCGCCACGACAGATTCAATCGCAAGTCCTTGATTTGTGGACGAGTTCGTGTGCTGTAGAAGGCGGGCAACCAAGGTAGAGGCAGTGCGGGTTTCTTCTCCATCATCTAAGGCCTCGTTCGGGTGCCCTGCGTACGTATGCAGATCCTGCCAAAATCGAAGCATATGTTCAGATTCTCGCCCCTGTTTCAGAATCAGGCTAGCTCCCGTAAAGCGCTTCCAACGACCATGGAGAATCTGGCCCAAGGCATTTCACATGAAAGGTGGGAATAAACGTTTCTACAGAGAACTTCAGAGATTGGAAGAATCGCTGTATGAGAAGGATTCCTTGCCAGAATTGTCACTTCAGGAGAAATCAGTAATTGCGCCGGGAAAATGGGCGGGCCCCACGGTAGGTCACTTCTGAACCGCCCCCAGTTCGGGCCCCAAGGGCCAAATGCCCATGATGTCATCATGTCCGGTAAAACATTCAGCGGCTTTGGAATGCGTCACTGACCTCAAGCAGCCGCAGGGTAACTTCGTGCATCCCTGGCTCACAGCGGGAGAAATTTCAGGCATAGCGTGAACCGATAGCGCGGCGTCTGACAGCATGCGATGCATTATCGAGCAAAGTAAATCTAGCTGGAATTTATTCGACAGCGCGGGCTGCCACGAACGATGGATCAATTCCGTCTGAGAGGGAGAGGTAAATATCACGAACATCTTGAAATTGTCATATAATCCTCGGGGAACTTGAAATGCGAATGGACGTTCCGCCGGCAGCCTATGGAATCGCAGAAGGCGATTTTCTTCGGGCCGACACGAACAACTGGACCGTCTCTTTGGAAAAACTCATGGATAGCGGAGTTTTGTTGGAAGCGCATCTCATCGTGATGGGTGCTGAGCCCGAAGTCCGACATGGCCATGTACCACGGCCCCGGGATCTTGGTGAGAGAAAAGAATGCGATGTGCACGCTCTTGACTAGATGGAGATGGAGAAGGAACCAAAAGAACACAGACCAGGAGTTGGGAGAGGGTGGCAGTCATAGGATGGGCCGTCGGCGAGAGGGTAGGAGAGGAGATTACCTACTTATATGCATCGGACTGAACGCCGACGATCTGGACAAGGTCCACGCCGTGGGTGGCCGCAGATCTAGTGCGTCGACTTCACGTTCATCCCCTGGTCACAGTTTGTGGACTGCGATGATATCAGCAAAATATGCGCGAAATTACGATTTGTACGGGAATTACTAGTACGATGGCCTAGTTGTGGATTCTTCTGGTAATGATAGGGCGCACCACATCCGCGATGATTTCGAGTGCGGAAAGCAGCTCCTCGTCCTCAGCGCTCAGAGCATCGCGGCGACTTGCTGTGGAATTCGCAGCAGGAGCGGCGAAAAGGGTCGCTTCGACTGGGCACACCGTCCCCGGCGGTGGGAGGGTGCCGTTTTGGAAGTATTGGCGGAAATACGTGGAGGTGCAAATTGAAGGCGCGGTCATTGACGTGTGCTGGGTTAATAATTTAATCAGAGGTGTAGAGACGATTGTGGCTGAGCAAAGAAGTGGTGGTGACTTACCCCAGGGGAATCTTGAGTAAAGATTGCGGATCCCGGAAATCCTGCAAGTGTTTTGAGGCCGCTGGTATAATAATAAATTAGCCCGGCATGGATGAACCAACTGAGAGGGTTACGCTGCAGCTGGCGCCACCGGGTCTGCAAAGGCAGTCATTACTAGATAAGAATTTTAAGCTAAGACTGGAAGCGGAGTCATACCTGCGCTAGTAGTAAGCAGTAGCAGCGGGAAGCTGGTATTCGCTGCAGCTACTGGGCCCTTGAAGCGATCTTCGCGGTAGACCTGCCATCCACTGATGAAATCAGTATTGTTCACACGAACGGGGGAAGCCAAGGACATACGCGCAGGTCACCCGATTCGACCCAACTAAAAATTCAACAAACTCAGACGTCTTCGCCGCATTGTCATAAAACTCGCGCAGCTCGTCGACTGTGTCCGTTACCACCGCCCCGTCGCCACATTGTACGGCCCAAACGGCATCGAAGTTGTTGAGGTGGAATGGCACTGTGTCGTTGCTGCAGTCGCATTGGAATGGCGCCGTCTCGAGGAGCGAGAACAGAATCGAGCCGTCCCCGCTCTCGAGCGCGGCGAGTCCCTGAGCAAGGGGACCGAAGAGTGCGTAAGGTGCGTAAAATGAGTTGAACATCGTGTTGCGGAGCAGGGAATAGTCGACGAGGCCGTATGCTGTCGGCGTGATGACGGGGACGGGTTGGGCGCGGATGGATTCGGTCAGCGCGGCGAGTCGATCGGCTATCGCGGCGGCCGTGGACTCGTAGAACGCACAAAGATCCGGGCCAGCGGCAACACATCCGTCGAAGAAGCTTTGCAACACCTTGTCGGTGTCGGTGAGCTCTATGGTTAGATTGGCTAGAAGGATTCAGTGACTGGTAAAACAAGTAGTATTGGACCTACTGCTCAACCATGCGTCGGCGTCCAACACGCCTGCATTAGATTGTCAAGTATCGGCATCGCACCAGAACTTTCAACCTACCATCAATGAGAATCCTCTCCACCTTGTCCTGCAAAGGAAATTCAATGTCATTGGCCTAGAATACGGAGAGAAAACTTGCGGGCAATATCGCTGCGAAAACCGCTCCGAGAACCGAGCCGTAGCTATTTGCGTTTCAATACGAGAATATGAATCAGATGGAATGAATGACTTACGATACCCCATAATATTTTACTTTGTCATACCCGAACCCCTCGGTAATCGTTAACATGTCGCGCGCTACGTTGTCGGTCGTCATGTACTCAAGAATACCAGACGTGTCTCGCTGCGCTGCCAGTTGCCCGAGAAGCTTTCCGCGACCCCAATCGTTTTGGAGGGCCTCGGCGGAGGCATTCAACGAGGTCGGCAACGAGCCCGCATTCCAAATGGCGCGTTCCGCATCTGTCTCGAAGAAAGATGCGACCGGAGTCGAGTAGCTCACACCTGCAAGATGAGATCGCGTCGCACTGTATCAAAAACACATACCACGAGGATCAAAACTGACGATGTCGTATTGGCTTCCGAAGAGAACCTGAAGACTGGCGCCGGCCGCGACGAGGTTATCGACACCGCTCGCTCCTGGTCCGCCTGGATTGAAAAGTAAAGGACCAAGGTATTCTGATTTTGAGACATTGGACGGCAGGCGAATGACGGCCAGGTCAGCGGTCCCGGCGCTGGAATTAGAATAATCCAGAGGGACCTGGATATATTGGCCCAGAAATTCCCCTGATCGCAGGGAAACGCACCTCTAAGCGCGCGCACTGAAACGTGGAATAGCACGTCACCCAGACAAGGTCTTTGCTGGGGGTCAACTGAAGAAAGAGATGAAGGGTCGTTCGGGAGTGTGGTGTTGGACGGCGCACCTGGTAAAACGGAAAGGGCGTCGAGGTTGTCTGGGCAAAGACGACCGGTGACGCAAGCAAGGCCGACAACAGGAAGGTGAAAGGCGCAACCATGGTTGCTCCACCGTGTCATGAACCATCCCCGGTCTTTTAAATAGGGCTGCGGTGCTGCGAAGCGGGAGATGCAAGCTTTCGGCGTTCAGACGGGGTCAGATGGAGGAGATGTATTATGGTGGCATGCCGGCAGAGGCTGGCAGAAAGCATGTGGAATCTCCAGGAACGATCGTGATAGCTCCATTAGAACAAGCTTCAATTCAATTCTTCTTGCGACGTACTGTTCCATAGAGCACTGGGTCTGAGTTCCTTGCATGTCTGAAAGTCCGGGTGGTCCCTAGAAAATAGGCGATTTTTTGCCCTTTTCGCTGATCAGTTACAGGTCGAGCTGAAGACCAAGAACTTCAACTCTCACACTTCTGTCACTACCGATCAAAGTGCACTGCGGCACGCCAGATTCCCTGAGCTAGGTCAAGCGCAATCTACGGTCAGCTGGAAAGATCGCTAAATTAATCCTGCTGGCTGTTCCTGCTTATAGATGACCTGCGGGCCCGGCTGTAACGGCACGGCGTCGGAATACCCCAGCTCTCAGACGTGGGTCCTCAAAACAAGCTACAGTCCACCCCCGCTAGATGACCCACATCCGTCTCAAACGCGAACACGCGAACTAGAGCGAAGAACTTCTATCGAGAAGTGAGCTCAGACATGTCAGTGCGCCACTTTGCTGCAAGCCGGATTCTAAGGAGCTCGTCGACCTGGAGCTTTGCCGCAGTAGACGTTGATGAATTGGCCAAGATGACCGCTACTTGGAGGCGCGCAGAGCTCGGCAAAGCTCCGCGTCGGAACGGATCCGGAGTTTGGCATTGAATGCAGTGAGCCGTCAATTCAATAAGGCGCCTTTTTCGCCATCTTCTTCCAACAGTTTCTGGTGCCCTAAGGCACGTGCGGTCAACATCCAAAGAAGAAAAATGTTTCTGAACCCAGTTTCGTACAGTAAAAATGATCGCGAAAGGTAGGGGCGAAACTGTTAATATCTTGGTATGAATCAAACCGTGGGAAGGATCAACATTGCCACATCGGTGCGAGTCTCTCAGCAGAGAGAGAAAACGGTTGGACGCACAGGGGTTTGAACCCTGGACCGCATACATGAACATTGCATGGGATGACCACGCAACAGGTGCAAAGCATGAGTGATACCACTACACCATACGCCCATTCTGAACAGCCGCGAGTACGTACACCACTGGGGATCAAATCAGGGATCAATAATCTCCGCAAGATCAGAGATGAAAGAATAGTTCCAGGGAGACAGATATAGATATACCTCTGAAACTTCCGACAATGATTACAATTTGAATGGATGTTCATTCACTGATGCGCACCCGGATACCTGCATGGCCAGTCTCGTTATATTTTCCAGATGCAGAAAACCAACACCGCACTCAATTCGGAGTATTTCGGTTCCGATTAGGGATCCCCGCCGTATACGGATACGACCATAATGATTACGATGAATTACAGGTTCTGACCGGCCCATAACCGTAACTGTACAGGGTTTCCGCGAGCCTCTGACGGTTACGGTACGGTCGTAAATATCGAAAAAAGACAAAGGCGCGCAGTTACGCTCATGTCCGCGATATGCAAGAGTTGGGAGTAAAATTGTTGGACTCTTGACCCAGAAACTTGACAACCAATGCATTGCGACCTTGAAAAGCCCCTTCGGCAGCCGCATTGAACTTGCCTTCCTAATTGGGAACATTCTACCGGTGCTACAAATTTTGTCCGGAACAACCTGGAATGTTGCGGCAGTCGTCTTAAAGCCATCCCTATGTCGGTGAGTCGCACACTCAAAATTCTTCATGCTTATCCTTGACGGATTGCGTCTCGCGCCTACTCGTGGCGGGTTGATGGCGCATCTGATCGTTCATGGTGAAAAATTAACTTCGCGAACGCGGCAACCATACGGCACATTGCGATTCTGGCCAGGCTTAAAACCATTTTAAAATCGAACCATATAAGGTCCTGTATACGGACTGTAATCTTACTTGTCCTTACGGTATACGATACGGCGGTACCCGTAACCGTATAAAGTCGCGGAAGGCGCTATACGGGTACGGGTCCGGTCTAGTGCCTCTCTTTTGTTTTGCAGTGCAGCCTCCAGGTCTGCCAGGTCCCGGAATGTACGGTATTTATCAATCAATGGTGTGGCAAGACTTTCTAGTCGGGTTGATCTTTCCGAATGCCCTACAGGAGTTAGCGTCACTGCCTCCTGGTGCGCTTGCACCATAGCCTCAAGGTCCTTTGGATCCTCTACCCTCCCGTATCGAGCTCTGAGTGTTGCTCCAAGTCCTTCCAATCGAGCTGCTCTTTCAGCATTCCCAGGGGGTGTCAGACTTGGCGCTTCATGGTCTGCATCGAGCGCAGCATTGACATCCTTCAGATCCCCTAGCATGATGAACCGAGCTAATAGTGATCCTGCAAGGTGATGTAGTCGGCCCGCTCTTTTAGAGTCTCCAGATGGGGTCAAGTCCACTGCTCTCTACTGCTCTGCAGTGCAGTTTCAAGGTCCTTAAGGTACCCCAGTCTATCATATTGATCCCCGAGTGACCAAGCAAACCTTTGCGGTTGCCCAGGTCTCTTGTGATGCCCCAAGGGAGTCAAGGCCAGTGCCTCGCGATGTGCCTTCAATGCAGCCTCGAGGTCATTCAGGTTTCCCGGTAGACAGGTATATCGATTTCTGAGTGATAGTGCAAAGGCTTGCAATTGCACGGCTCTTCTTTCGTGGCCTGGCGGAGTACACTCTAGTGCTGCTTGGTTCAACTGCAGTGCAGTCTCAAGGTCCTGGGGGTTACCTAGCCTTGTATATTGATCACCGAGTAATGTCACAAGGGTTTTCATATGAACCGACCTCTTAGAATCATCTAGTGGAGTCAGGTCCACTAATTTTTGATATGTTTGTAGGGCAGCCTCAAGGTCCTTCATGTCCTGGAGCATTTTGTATCGATCCCTAAGTGATGATCCAAACTTTGCCAATTGTTTTGGTCGCTGAGCATATCCTAGTGGAGTCAACTCCAATGCATTCCGTCGTTTTTGCACCTTGACCTCAAGGTCCTTCATGTCCTCTGACATCCGATGTTGAGCTGGTGCATCTGATTCGTATACTTTCGGGTCCTATTCAGTATTTAGTGTCAATATATATATATTTATCGGATTACCACACTCACCAACCTATCATTCATGCCCGAGTTCTGTTTGGGTACCAACCCACCTCGAGCCACTTGAGAAACCTCGGAACCAGCTCTTAGTTACATTCAATATAGTACAACAGAGAATGTTCTCACAAGCGGTGCTTCTGTCATTTCGCGGTGAAAGGAAAGCCGCTGAATGTCAATGTTATATGATGCCGCCTGTCAATTCGGGAAAATAAGTATACCGAATCTAGCCTATTGTTCGCCCCAAGACTCGTCACTGATGACCATCCCACTGATGGCCATTTGGTGATATTGCTCGAACCACTAATCACGTTTATTTCATTCTTCGACAGCAGACAACCGATAATGACTCGGAACGGGTCCAAAGTTCGAACGATGCCTACTAACCGTCAACGTCTATTTCGCGTTGATTTAGTGCCCACATTTCGGGGGTGAAGAAATACCTATTGAATGGGCGAAGCGAATCTTCCGGGTAAGTGCAGCACGTACTTTCGCAGTGAAGGGAAAATAAACATCACCGTGAAAACGAATAAAGTAACAGTGGAGTCCGCCTTGGTTCGCACTATAAGAAATGGGCTGATAGACCAATGTCGCGGCCTGGTGTGTGATAAATTTTCACTACACCCCTATAAGTTTGGGTGTTCGAGGCGAGAGAGTTGAGCAAAGCAAGCATGATTCCAAACCCAACAAACAAAGGAAAAGAACCAAGTGAAAGGAAAGAAGAAACAGTGTGCACGTATCTATCAATTCAGGCCTAATCGGCCAGAAGCTCCTCGATGTTGGCTTCCCTCCACCGCTTTTCCGTGATCACAAACTGGGGCGGAAGCGGAGCCGCGTCGGGTGCGGTTTCCAGCCCATTCGCATCACCCAGCACCATTTTCGCGAGGGCAACACCTGCAAGCCAGGCGTGGGTCATCCCCTCGCCGGTGAATCCAGCTGCTATCCATTCCCCCGGGGACGCTAAGGACGACTTGCCCACGTTCGCCGACGCCGTAGACTGGTTCCTTGGCTCGCCGCGTCCCGAAACAGACCCTGGAACGCGTCCAACCCACGGCTGCCCGTCTGCGGAGATCCCCATGAGCCCCGACCATGCTGCCTTGACGCGCCCCGCCGCCCACTCTCCCTCTTCCACCTTCCCGGCGTCCGTTTCCTTTTCTGCAGTAGCACATGTACCCCCTTCCGCGCCCCACCCAGGTTCGAAATATCGCTCGAGCGCGCCGCCCAGGTAGGCCGTCACGTCGAAGTCCGTTTGCGAGTCGTCCGTGACGCCAACGTTATCCAGGAGAGCGGCCTCCGCGCGCCCACCGATGCTCGCACCGCCGCCGAACATGAGCTCCCCTGCAGATACAGGGTTCGCGACGTCGATCGTGCTGATACTGCCTTCCTCCGTGGAGTGGCTAGAGGAAGAATCTTTCACGCCGCCGGCGGGTGGCTGTTGCGTCAAATAATCGAAGACGGTCATGGACGCGCTGGGGTAGAACACAAAGGCGCGCTTGCCGGTCCAGGGTGCCGACGCCGCCGCAGTCTGCCCCAGCACACATCCTGGCCGCTGGGCCGTCATGTACATGCGGGCAGGTACGATCTTGCGGCGCATCCCCGGGAGCAGGTGGGCGGCCCATGCGTTCGTCGCGTGCACGACGTGCGCCGCGCCAAGCATACCTTTGGGAGTTGTAATTCGATAACTGGATCCGTCGGCGGCGAGGCTGATATCGGTGCACGGTGTATTGATGAAAAGCCGGAAACTGGGGAAATCATTAGGACAATACTGGTAGAAGAAAGGAATACTTGCTCTGGATGAACGGCGAGGAGACGCGCAAGGATGCCGGTGATTAGGCGGTAAGGGTGAAGTGCTCCGCCCGTCTGCGAGATGCAGCCGGCTACGCGCAAGGAGAGCTGGAGTTCCTATAGGATAACGCATCAGCCGCTATATCAGAGGCCTGGAACTGAAAACAAGCGCTGAGAACAATCGCTGAGACCGAAGACCACACTTGTGTGGAATTCCCAGCTATTTCTGAGTGTGGACAGTGTGATATTACCTTGAGTGCCGACTTATCACCGCATACTGTGTGCTTCCCTCGCCGTTCTGGGCAGGCAGTCAGGTACCCATCGAGCGCGCCTTTGGCCCTTTGGTAAAGGCTGTCCTGCAGATATGCATCAAACTGCTCCACGATGCGTGCTTGTGACGCATGCAAGAGACCTTCGTCCGCAGCAACCTCCAGCAACGCCGGAATGTGGGCCAGACGAAAGCGTATAATTTCTCGCGCCGCGCTGGGACCGTATTTCGCCGCGAGCTCAGAATAGTCTTGATAGGTGTTCGGTGAGATGTGGCCTCCATTTCTCCCGGTAGCGCCAGAACAGACGTCTCGCGCCTCGAGCATGACGACGCGCAGAGGCTGTTCCTTGTCCGAGCTGTCGAGCAGAGTCCGAGCAATGGCGGCGCCGGAGATTCCGCTACCAATAATCACAATGTCCGCATACTCGGGAAGCGGCGGACTTGCAGGCCTTGCATTCAAAGGCGAGGAAGGTTCTAACCAGTAAGAGCGCGACGGATGAGGATGAGGAAGTCCCGGGTCGAGCGAGATGCGTTGTGATAGAACGGAAAACGAGTCTGAGATGGATTTGAAGGTCCGATAAATGAGACGAAGGCGAGAGAGTGCGGCCCCCATGTCGTCGGTGCGCAGCCTGGAGAAGGCGATAACGCGGTCACGAACGGAACACAGCAATACATCAATGATGATCGGCAAGTCCCGTCTGCATATTAGATGCCAATAGGGAAAGCTGGACGAGCTGCTCGTCCAGCGCATAAATTATAATTATAAAGAACTGATAACTAGTCCGTCGGATCTCTGTTTTTCACGCAGAAACCTACGTGAGCTCCGCATTTTGCCTGGGGGAAATATTCGTGGATCAAAACCCACTACTGTATCGCCAACTTGGTGGCAGCGGAGATGAGGAGGTATAATGGGAGCGCTATCTGGAGGTCAAATTATGACTCAGAAAGG